CCCCGGAAGCGCACGTCGCCCACCAGCGAGTGCCGCCCGCGGTCGAAGTCGTCTGCTGAGTAGTATGCGCCGATGCGGTCCTCCTTTTTGGGTGTCAGAGACTGATGGGGAAAAAAGGGAGAGAGAAAGAAGGGGGGGAAATACCTTGGCCCAGTAGACCTCGAAGTACGCAAAAAAGGTCCCCTCAAAGGCGGCCAGAATGGTGATCTGGTGGGGGTCCTCGTGCGCCTTGCGCAGGTACTCGCGGTGCTGGTCCAGCGTGCCGGTTTCGTTCCAGCCCTGGGACACGCGGGGGTCGTTCTGCCACGTGTGGAAGAGGTTGAGGTGCTCGGCGTTGGTATAATCCAGGGCGACCATGGAGAAGGTCTCGCGCAGGTGCGGGATGTAGCGGCTGTAGAGCACGGTGCCGGGGGTGGGCTTGGCGCGGCGGATGGGGTGCCAGGTGAGGGCCGAGTTGGGCTCGTTGGTCATGGTGTAGGCCGGCGGCGGGAGCGGGTAGGCCGCGAGGTCGGGCGACTGCGTCTCGGGGACCCAGGCGGGGCGCGAGCCAAAGGGGGACCCGGCGCCTTGCCAGAAGGTGCCGCGCAGCACGAGGAGCTCGTCGGTCGTGGCGGGCTGCGGGGAAGAAGTGGGGTGGTCGATGGCTAGGCCGACTGTCTTGAGCTGGTGCGCGAGCTGGGACGCGTCAGCCCCAGACAGTTGCAGGCGGAAAGACTCCTCCGCCGGGCGCAGGGTGAAGATGGCGTAGGCGATCAGCCACAGCTGGCCGACGGTGGCCTGGCGGGCGTCGGTCCAGCTGACGGCGACGGCGGGCGAGCGGCGGGCGCGGCCCCAGGGCGTGTTGTTGGACTCGTGTGGCCGGTCGCTGGACTTGAGGTCTTGCGGCTCGGTGAACGAGAGGGACGGGTTGTGGAGGGCCTCGCGAAGAGGTGTGGTATTGGCGGCATTGTTGTTGTTGTCGCGCGGGATGAGCTGGTACGTGTCGGCGGCCTGGCTCTTTGCGACGGCGTATGCTGTCTGGTACGGGTGTGGGAGCTTGAGGATGGGTTCGGAGGATGCTACGTAGGCGGCGAGCCGTCTGGGGGCGGATGGGGATGGGGATGTCATTGTCGTGATTGTGATTGTGTATGTTTGTGTCTACGAAAAGGAGAGACGATGAGACAAGAGTACGACAAACAGACAATTACGACAGCTCCAAACAGATAGCTTCAGGGCAGAGCAGAGCAGAGCCTTCCCCGAGATTCACATGCAGGAGACGACGAGTGGCTCTCGGGTGTGGTGGGGGCACCGGAAACCCGTCTTCTCTGATCCCCCCAAACAAAGGCCACGATATCCTGGGGGGGTCGGTTCTGCTGCCCTTTCTGGCGGTGCTGGCCCACCATCTCGATGACTGCCAACCCAAACCTCCGTCGAAACGGCCAATGGAAGGGGGGCGAGAGGTGGGGTGACAGGGGGCGTCCCCGGTTGGATGGCTTGCTGGGTCTCGGATCTGATAACTTTACTCGGACGCCAAAAAGCGGATCTGATAAAAAATTTCACTGACCCCGGCCTCTTGGCAGCCCGACCGCCCGAGGTCGGAGTGGTGGTGTCTGGTGAGGTCATGATTTCTGTGTCTGGGAAGTCTTGTGTCGTTGGTTTATTTTTGAGCAGGTTTTTTGGTCCTTTTATTTTTCTCATGATGGATTCTATATTCATTTACCTCCAGTACTCCCAAGCCGTCACCCAGTTTCATGATGTTCTGGGAAAAGGGGGCTTTGTTTACAAGAAGAGGACAGCCATCCCAGCTCAAAACCACACACAGGAATCGCCCGCATTCGCTACCGAGAACGTGGGGCAAAGGGCTTGGCATGAATAATCTTATCAGATCAAAAACGATCGTTGGCCCTCCTGAGGCATTTACCAGGGGCCATGTCCGAACATCACACCACCCGTTGCATTTTTGGGTTATCAGATGGAGCTAGCCGCCATGCCACGGCGGCCCTGAAGAAAATCTCTGCCTCTTCTTCCCCACCTCCGGCTTTCTGGTTTTCGTGTCTGCCTAGGGCCACCGCAGCCGAGGGTCGAGGCCCCTCCCCACCACCAGCCATGTCGCATGGCGCATGTCGTTGTTCACACAGACCCCTTTCACTGGGAGAGCATGGCAGAGCATCACCGTAGGCATGTTCCCGACATCGCTCGCAAGCGTGATGTCGGCAGGAATAGCAGAACTGATCCTGGCTGGATAGATCTAATCAGATGGATTAGATAAAATCAACCTCCCCCTGGCGGGCCACCACCACCCATCGCCGATCAGTTGGCCACGCAGCTGTGGGCACCGGAACCGCCCTAGGGATGCATGTTGAATGGCGCCTCGCTTGCAAAATGTCCACCTGCAGACCAATATCCCGTCATGGCTCCCGCTTCCGAAGGGGGGGAGCGTCTGCCACATGCATGAAGTGCCGCTCCGTCTTACCCAAGTTCCTCCCAAAGAATTGAAGAAGTGATTGTCTATATTCAGTGAGGAATATCACCACACAAAGACTACGGTTACACACCATGGCAGCCCAAGTCACAATACCAGTGGTCAAAGACGGATTCGTCCTCCCCCAGCCCCAGAGACTGTCCCTCCTCTACGGGCCGACAGACCCTCCTCTTGTCGACCTGACCCTTGGCGAGCTCCTCAACCTGCAGTGTCTTCACCACGGGGCGCGAGAAGGCATCGTCATCCCCTGGACCGGCGCGCGATGGACATACAACGAGCTCAACCACCACAGCCGGCTGCTGGCAGGCGCGCTGCTGGGCATGGGCATTGGCGTGGGCGACCGCGTTGGCATCATGTCGGGTAACTGTGAGCAGTATGCGGCCGTCTTCTTTGCGGCCACGAGGATAGGCGCCATTCTGGTCATCCTCAACAACACATATACCCCAACTGAGGCACAATATGCCCTCGACTTTTCAGGTGAGTCTCTCGTCTTCTGTTTCAAATACGCCCTGGTAGGCAACAGTAGCTCACGATGGCCCCGCCACAGACTGCAAGGTGCTGTTCACCACCAAGACAATAGGCCGGCTCGACAACACACCACTGCTTGCCCAGCTCAAGGGGAGGACCAAGCCCGGACCCAGGGTGTTCATCCTCAGGGGCGACTCCGAGGGGTACCGCACGTACAAGGACGCGCTGGCCGATGGCTCCAAGGTCAGCCCAGCGCGTCTGCACCAGGCCGAGCGCAAGGTGCTCCCACATCTTGTGTGCAACCTGCAGTTCACGAGCGGCACCACCGGGCTGCCCAAGGCGGCCATGCTCACTCACCAGTCAGTTTTTTACCCCCAGACCAAACAAAAACATCCCCAGAGTCGCGAGACTAACCCCTGGCCTTCCAGCAACATCGTCAACAACGCACGCTTCATCGGCGACCGCATGCGCCTCACGCCAGACGACGTGCTCTGCTGCCCACCGCCGCTGTTCCACTGCTTCGGGCTCGTGCTGGGCCTCATGGCCGTCATCACCCACGGCGGCAAGATCGTCTACCCAGCCGAGGTGTTCGACGCGTCCGCCACGCTCCGCGCCATTGTCGACGAGAACTGCACGGCCGTGCACGGTGTGCCGGCCATGTTCGACAGCATCCTCGCGCTTCCCACCTCTAAATCGCTCGAGGCGTCCCAGCTGCGGCTGCGCACCGGCATCATCGCGGGAGCACCCGTGCCGCGCTACCTGATGGAGCAGCTCGTGTCTCGCCTGGGCATGCGCGAGTTCACGTCCAGTTATGGTCTGACCGAGGCGTCGCCGACCTGCTTCAACGCGTTTACCGACGATCCCATCGCCACGCGGCTGGCTACCGTCGGCACCCTGATGCCGCACGCGCGCGCCAAGATCATTGACCGGGACGGTCTGCTCGTGCCCCTCGGCGAGAAGGGCGAGCTGTGCATCGCGGGGTATCAGCTGCAGGCCGGTTACTGGAACAACTCGGAGAAGACGGCCGAGGTGATGGCGCGCGACGAGGCGGGCGTTTTATGGTTGCATACTGGCGATGAGGCTGTCTTTGATGAGCGGGGGTACTGTTCCATTACTGGGCGGTTCAAGGATATCATCATTCGCGGTACGTGTTTAACAAGGGCCCCTTTTTTTTCTTTGGATGAAATTACTGACTTTTTGGTTTGTGGGGAAAAAAGGAGGAGAAAACATCTACCCCCTCGAAATCGAAGAACGCCTGCTCGCCCACCCGGCAATCTCTCTCGCGGTCGTCGTCGGCCTCAAGGACGCACACTACGGCGAAGTCGTCGCCGCGTTCCTGGGCCTGGAGACAGGGCACGCGCGGCCCACGCGCGACGAGGCGCGCGACTGGGTGCGCCGCCACCTGGGCAAGCACAAGGCGCCCACGCACGTGTTTTGGTTTGGCGTCGACGGTGTTCCCGCCGCGCCGCCCTTGACGGGGAGCGGCAAGGTGCGCAAGTTTGAGATGACCAAGCTTGGGAATCAGATCCTGGATGATGCCGCTAGGGCTAAGGACGGGGCGGCGGCGGTAGTGGCTAAGTTGTGAGATGAATAAAATTTTGTGTTCGTGCGGCGAAATGGATAAAATGGGAGGAATAAAGGGAGGGGAAAAGGCGTTTTTTTGTTGTTGTTGTTGTTGTTGTTGTGTAGACAATCTTCTAGAATGAATTTGGATAAATTTGAATGATTTATGCTTTCCACCCTCCTCTTTTTCCTTATTTTTCCTCTTCCTTCTCGCTGTCATAGAGAGGAGTGGTTCAATTTGATGTCAGACTTTTGCATTCAATCTAGATAAATTTTGAATTGACCGGTGGGATTTGCTGAAGAACTTGAAGCCGATACCAATAACGAGAAGCTCCCGTGGGAATTATTACGACTTTAATCTTTTCACCGGCCGATGACTGCATGAAGTTTCTTGCAATATAACTCACCTCTTGAGTTTCATTCTTGACATTTTTCAAAGTGCAGCTTGATGCCCTCGTACCATGATACCGGCGCAAACTTTCAACAGTCATCCGATGATTCAACAGACGCCCGTATGGTCTAGTGGTATGACGTTCGCCTCACACTCCACAAATGTGGTCGCGACAGGTCCCAGGTTCGAGCCCTGGTGTGGGCAATTCTTTTTCCAAATTCTTCGCTTTCAAAAATTGTGGATACGGAGTCTTGTTTTTTGCCCTTGAAAATAGGGTTATTAGAAGCTGGTAAATTCCGCACGCGAATAGTGGTGTAAATATCTAAACTGCGGTTTGGGTAAACAACCAAATTTCAATTTCACAGACTTCAACGGCACTTCTTGGAGGTGTCTCACTTTTCAAAGCCGAATTTCCATACATACATTTAGAATAGCCCAGAGGATGGATGTTATAGTATGCAGGCTTCATTGATGCTATGTCTAAACTGAGTGTGGCGGTCCAAATATTGCCTCCAATGCAAGACTCCGCTCTGTTTCCTCTTCACCGCAGCAGGTGGTACGAAATCACCTTCAGCCTGGAAGGTCGTATAATGTCCAAAACGCCTGAAAAGAATGTGTGTTGGGTGCGCTTCACCCAGTGGGTTCCCGTCAACGACAGCAGTCCCCTCCAAAAAAATGTAAAATGAGTGTGTTGGGGTTCGTTCGCCTCAGTGGGTGACAATCTTCGCCCTAGCAGGCGGTACCAAGAATTCTCCTCTAAAAAATAGTAAAAGAGTGTGTTGTAGAAGGTTAGGCCCTAACCACACCTCCCTAAAAATTCTCATTCCCGCCATCTGGCACTTCTTTATAGGAAGCACTAAAACTCCGCCGTGGTTGACGTCCTGGGCTTATAACTCACCACGAGCTCTTATAGCCCTTTCCTTGCATATCTCCTGAATGGATAGTCCATCAGTTATTGCGTTCGACACAATATGGAAGCAAGCGCAAACCGCATTATACTCACGTCAATCCGTAGTCGCCATTGTCGATGTTGAGCCAGACGCGGAACCATCCTGGCTTCGTCGCATGCCTCCAATACAATTTGGTTGTCAGCCCGGTAACTTGAAGTTATCCCTTCGTGTTTGAGAACTGACTCTCAATGCATACTGCCCGGGTCTAGTAAAATCCAGGCAGCGGGCAGTCACAAGACATCTACTCCTACACGTAGACTGTAAACAGCCAGGCATGAATTCTTGACCAGCTAGACGCTAATGGGATATAAGGCGTCCACATCGTCATCTGGTGTCAATGCGTTTCCTATCATTCGTACAACTTCCCGGGCCAGAATCGAGCAAAATAGTGCCTAAGGTGCACTTGATGACGGCATTTCCAAGCCCTTGTCTGGTATTGGACCAACTGCTGTCGGTCATATGACTTGTCGACTATAGATCAGACTGAGTGAAAGTGATTACGGCTCATCAGCTAAAACTAGTCGAACAAGAACATGGGTACATAACTGTTCCTGCGTCTTTTATCTTATAAAAGAGGTGACAACCGAACCGTATGACCAAAGGCATTGACGCCAGGCACTGCACTAAGGCCCAACGGTAGATCATACCAGATAGTGGTCCACTCCCACATCTTATGTACATGTACCTAGACAAAGAGATAGGCTCCTCCTCTTTTCAATAAGCAAAGGAGCCAAACGACAGCATAGAGGCGAAGAGCGGCAGTACGGAGGCTAACGACGACAACAGTCAGGACAAAACTGACGGCCATAAAGAAGGGATAACAGACGGCCGTGGAAAAGGAGGGAAATAATGACAGCATAGAGGGAAAACTCGTCGGCGACAGACAGGCAAAACAGGTTGATCAGCTCGGCAGCTGGCGAGGGGGAATTGAGCACGTTTTCATCCTGGAGAAGCTACGCGACTGGCGCCCATTACGCCTCTCGCCTCGTTCCTTATCTAGAATTGCAACAGCTCAAACTACAGTACACATAATCCATCAGTGGGGCGGAGAACATCTATCCAACGTCTCATCTGAACTCAGTAGAGCGATAGGGTCCAAGTATCCATGACCACCTGTTAGTCGTCGCATAATAAACTCATGCGAGCAGAACAGCGATATCAGCTTGTATCAGAATACGTCACGATATCTGTTCGTTTCAGAACCCGTCACGATGCAGCTAAGCTATCGGCAATGATAGACGATCATACCTTGAAAGCTGGGAAGGTGCATGTGAGGTTTTCCGGCCGTGGCCGATTCTTGGAACCGAGTCGAGTTCCAACGCTCCATTACCACTCCGTTGCCTTTCGCAACTTCGAAAATAAAGACAAAGGTTTGATAAGATCAAAAGTACGTCGCATTTTAGTTTCCTACCTGAACGAGTAGATACTACGAATACTAATTATCCACAACAATCCAGATTGATATATCCTCCATATGCTTCCCTATGCCCGCAATGTCCGCCTATGCCGCTACACAATTTTATGCAATGCTCCCTCTTCTCTACCTTAACCCCCCTGAACCCCATTACACCTAAAACCACACCAAACCCTTCTAGAATCTAACCCCTTTTACACCTTGTATCCCCCCGTTCTCATAAATGGAAAACACCGATACAATTTATTTACACCCCAACCCACCCAACACCATTCAGGGACTCACCTCGACAAATCGTGTGCCGCCCTCACCTGCGCCTCCTCGCTCCCCGGCAAGGTTCGGGCCTCTTGATATGGGTCCAAATCGCTCTCCACGTCGGCGTCCGAATTGTGCGGATCCCGATCCTGCGGCGAGCAGACCACCATCGTGATGCCCGCTGCCGGCGTGGCCATGGACATGTCCTCAACGGTGCTGTCGTCCATCACGACAGCTGAGTCGTCCCCGGTGCTGGCCATCGGGGGCGACAGCGGCTTGGAGAAGTCAAAACCGCTGGACCGCTCCTCGTCGGCCGAAGTGCCCGTGGTCGAGAACACGGACTTGGTGTGGATGTAGCTTTGGCTCTTGTGGGACCGCCTGAGACGCGGCTTCGTCATGGTGGTGGCCCGACCGGCTGAGGCAGTTGCCCGGTGGGTTTGTCGCGGATTCATCATTTCCAGTCTTTCGTCTTCCTCGGAGTGGTCGTCAGTGAGCGTGTCTTCTACATCCTGGAAGGCTTTGGTGTGCCGTGCTGCCAGGAGCTGTAGACTGCTCCCCGAACTCCTGCGGCGATGGTTGCGTGGCTGCTCCTCCGGCGTTGTACTACCTGACGATGACTGGTGGACCGAGCAGACCTTTTGCCGGTGCACGCCATTGACGCCGCTCGCAACGCTGGCGCCCCGGCTGATGCCCCTCCTCACGATCTGAGGCTCGGATATATGAGCTAGCCTGCGCAAGTCGACCTGGCTCTTACTAAAAACAACCCGCGCGCGCAGGGCATGGACAGCATGGTCTAGAGCGAGCTCGATAGCGCATCTGTCTTTGACGCGGCTGAGCTTTGGCCAGGTGGCCCGCTCGCCTATCAGGCAGTTCCGCAGCATGAATTCCGAGGTTGGATTCTTCAAAATGAGCGGAAGATCTCCGGGGGCGATCTCTGGGAGGATGGTGATGTCGCCTGAGTACTTCTGGCTCAGGATGCAGCGCAGTTTGGTGAAAAGATTGGGGAAGACGCCGAGCTCAGTAAGGAAATGCAGACGGTGTAGTGCCTCTTCCTTCGCGAGGGTTGTGAGAGTATACAGCCACTCGGTGCTATCCTGCGACGACTTGTGTTGCCTCAGCTGATCGGGCGTGGTTGCTGGATACAACCTATCATCTTTGGAGAGGAAGGGGACTACATGTGGGTTGACCTGCGACACAATAAAGTGGTTGACGTTGAACATTTCAGCGAGGCGGGTCATGGGCAAATCGTTGTCCACGGATCCGTCGATCCATCGCTGCGGTGTGGGATTCCAGGGCACATGGGCTCCGGTGGCAGGGTCTTTAACCAAGAGGGGCGCAGCTTGGAAGACCAGGGGAACCGAGCAAGAGGCCGCCACAGCCGACCAGATCATGACGTTGGGAGCCGTGACGTAGTTGAGCAGCCTGGGGAGTTCGTAAATGGAGGCGGATGAAACACAGATATTGCATATCCTCCGCGTCCGGTTGTACGCCTCCTGGAATGTCAAGTCACCAAGCCAGCTGCGCATAACCCGTGTCAGGTTTGTGATGTCAGACCAGGCTCCCTCGGTCAAGAGCCGTCGAATGTGGTCGAAGATGCCGTCGTTCTCGCCTTCGAACACGCCCAGGTCGCCGTAGGGGAACGCTGCAATCAAGGCAGGGATCTCCTCGTCCTTGCGGGTGCACAGAACAGAGCACACGATGGACCCTGCAGAAGCGCCCGAGATGATGCGCGGTAGAAGCTTAGCGTCGTACAATCCCTTGAGCACGCCAATGTGGGACATGCCAAATGTTGCGCCGCCGCTGAGGAGAAGAGCGCTCCTCCCGAAGCTCTGTCTGGCGCAGAGCATGCCCTCCAACAAGTCCTTCTGCTCCGCCTCGGACGGCAACACATATGCGCTCTTATCGACGAGCGCTTCGATTGTCTTGATGGCCGACTCGACATACTGCTCGATCAGCTTCTTCGTCCCGATATACGAGTGGCGATATAGGTCAATGTTTCCCATGCCGCCGAGGTCCCGCGACAGGGCGGTCCGGACGAGATACATCATCCTCGGGATGTCGCAGTTTGTCCGGGCCGTGTCCAGCTCTCTCAGCTTCGCCTCGATCAGGTCGGGGTGGTAGTCGCCAGAGGACGAGTCTAGTTTCCATTCGTCGTTGCCCTCGAGCCGGTCGAGCTCCTTGGCCGCATCCTCCCATTCCTCCATCGTGGTGGCCTGGAAGAGCAGTTAGAAGCCGAGCGTACACTTCCAAGTGCCAAGGGCTGTTAGGGGTTGCTCACATTGTGCATGCGCGCTGCCAGAATCTGCATCCTCTCCTCAAGTATCCTCTTGTCTTCGCGTTCCGACTCGTTGAGGCCATCCCGCCACGACAGGAGGATGTTGCTGGCATCGCGGACGGCTTTGGAGAGTGACTGGAACGGGGCGTGCTGCGTGTTCCTCTTCTTGAGCGACGAGCCAGGTGCGAGCGTTGGTGTCTTGAGCCTGCCGTCGGCGCCACTGCTCACCCTGATGGCGGGAGGGCCCTGGACAAGGAGATCGGCCATGGCGAGGGTGTTGGGCGACGGGAGTCTCTCCTTGGCGCGACTC